GCATGGGATATCGCATACGATACTAAATGGTATTCTTGAATGAGATGTATCGTATGCGAGAAAATATCGAACGGTTGATATCGAGTGTGACAAAAGTGAAGTTATTCGATGTGAAGTGAATTAAATTTATGGTGGCAATGGATATGGCATATAGAAATGCTGTTCAGCTTCATATCGCTGAACAATTGGAAAATATTTACAATTTTAATGAAAGACCGCGTTTTCACATAAGAGATGATCCATTTGAATTATCAGAACGACAGTTTAGAAATATTTTTCGATTGAAAAAAGAAACAACAAACAGGCTAATTAATATTGTAGAAGACAATTTAATAGAACCGTCACGATCTTCAGCTTTGGACGCAACTGTACAAGTATATACAACACATGCAGAATATAAATTATTTATTATAATAAAAATTTTTTTTAGGTTTTAGCTGCATTACGTTTTTATGCATCAGGCAGCTATCAGAATTGCATAGGAAAAAATATTCACATGGCTATTAGTCAACCTTCGATCAGTAGATGTATTCGAAATGTGACTAATATTCTTAATTTACCAGAGATATTTAACAATTGGGTGCGCTTTCCTAATAACCTTCAGGAGCTGCAACAACTGCGTAACAAGTGAGGATATATTGAGAAAAATTATACATTAATTAATGTGCACATTATCCTATAATTATAGGATTATGTGCACACAATCATGCTCTATCACATTATATATATATATATATATATATGTGACATATGTGTGCGTGTGCCTGTGCGTGTGCGTGTGCGTGTGCGTGTGCGTGTGCGTGTGCGTGTGCGTGTGCGTGTATATATATAATGTAATGTAATACATATTTATTTATGTGTATATATACATAGATTTTGGATAAATCATCGCTTTCCAGGAGCGATTGGTTGTATAGACTGCACTCATGTAGCAATTTTTCCACCTCCTAAAGAAGACGAAAATTATCCTGAACATATATATGTGAATAGAAAAGGATATCATTCTATTAACGTACAATTGGTGAGATTGTGCATTAACACAAAATTCAATTATATTATTACACAAATCATACAAGTACAGCTTTATTTGCAGATATGTGATACTGATCTTAGGATAATGAATGTTAATGCCCGATATCCTGGAAGCACTCACGATTCGTATATCTGGAATAATAGTAATGTTCTTCCTATAATGCAAGATATTTACAATCGTGGACACAGGTTTTTCTTATTAGGTAATATGTAATCATCAAAGTGATCATTAAATATTGTTTTCAGTTTAAATGGATAACATATTATATTGCTTTACATACAGGTGACTCTGGTTATGCGCTTAGACCTTGGATGATGACTCCAATAATAAACAATGATCCTAATATTGCAACGAGAAGATACAATGATCTGCAAATGAGCACTAGATCACTTATTGAACGTTGCAATGGTGTCTTGAAGATGAGATTTCGTTGCCTGTTGAAACATAGGGTTTTACATTACCAGCCAGATGTATGCTCGAAAATTATCAATGCTTGTACAGTGTTGCATAATATGTGCATTCAGGACAACATGCCCTTACCTGAAGCAGAAGATGAAGTATTGGACTGTGGTCAAGATGGTATAGAGGATGTAAATGAACCGGGGATAGATATGTTAAATAGAAATCACGAACTAATAGCTGGACGAAGAATTCGCAATAATTTAATACGACAGTACTTCTCTTAACAATATTTTGTATTTTTTGTATATATGTATACACATAACCATGTGTACAAACAATAATCACATTTATAATTATAATCAGTTTATAATTAGTCATCGGGCAATAAAAAACTGAACATAAAATAACTAATCTCTTATCTTTAAGTTTTTTAACATACGTAAAAATTTTTATACGCAACATAGCTTATAGGAACATTTGTTTACTTATGAACACACTAATGTTCATTTTCACAGCCTACATCTTAGCTTATCTTAGTTATTATTTGCTTTTTTCACAAATTGCTTCAGTAATGTGCATATATTTTCTTTGGCAATGACGTCTCTTTCTTTCAGAGCTAACTCCTTCTTATAAAGTTTTAATTTTTTTTTGTAATACGATTTTCGTATTGTGCTATCTATCTGCGAAATGTTCGCCAACTTTTCAGTTTGTTCTATTGATTTGTTATATCTTTGTGAAGCAGATCTTTTAACACCTCCTTTTATGGTAATCGATTTTGAAATTGGCGTTACAGGAACGTGTGATGCGTTGTTGACTACATTGATTGGTGTTTCTAGTGCAGTTGTTATTTTTGTTAAAGATTTGTTATTGTTATCATTCTGATTGTCATTACAAATTGGCGTTACAGGAATGTGTGATGCGTTGTTGACTACATTGATTGGTGTTTCTAATGCAGTTGTTATTTTTGTTAAAGATTTGTTATTGTTATCATTGTAATTGTCATTATTGTTGTTTAAGCTTTCTTTTGGTGAGTTATTATCTTCGAATTTGCTGCAATGATAATTTTGAGAAGACAATGACTGTTGTGGCTCGGAAAACTGCGTTATCTCTTGACTTTTGTCTTTTATGGGAAAATTTTCCTTATCTTCACTATCATCGATTTCAAATATAATTGAATCATCTACTCCTGTAATCCACTCCTGCAAAAAAATATCAATGTAT